GAGAGAGGAGAGAGAGAGGCGGACAGGGCAGAAGGGAGAAGATCAAGAGACGCGCGACAAGAGGAACGTAGGTATGGCTCTCTCTTTCCTCTCTTCCTCTCGCTCTCTTCTCTCTCTCTCTCTCTCTCTCTCTCTGCCTCTCTCTCTCTCTCTCTTTCTCTCTCTCTTCTCTCTGTCTCTCTCTCTCTCTCCACACGCACACAGCACGCTGCGCGCGCGCGGCGTATATTACTTGTATTCTCTTTACAATCATTAATGACCTTGCCTTTGAATTGAGCGCCTGTTTGAGATTTTATGCGCTTATATCTATATATTATATAGATACTATATATCATAATTATTATTTTACAACAATAATTATGAACTACGACGGTTTCCCTATCAACGCTAGCGAGGTCTGTTGGATATTGCGTTTCCGACCAACCCATCACCCAATTTCCTGTTCGGATGCAGGTTTCTCATCGTCTCTGCTGTTATGTCTTGCACCAGTTGTATTTTATGCCTCAATATTATATATATATATATTATATATTATTAATATATACTACATATTATTCAAGAGCTAATAATACCTATATATATATATATGAGGGAGACTGCTATAATAGATAAATAAATAAATAAACAAAATAAAATATAAAGATTATTGTATGTAATAGGTTTGGGACGATTCATCGATATATCGATTTACAAACTAGACAAGACACGTAAAGATATTTTGGTAACAATCGTTTGTAACATGATAGGATAGTCCCGGTTTAAAGTATAGTTTTCTAGTTAGTTTCTCTTGAATATATCGCGATATGAATCGTATTGTAAAGCTTGTATATGGATCGTATCGTGAGCTACCTGTATCGCCGCACCCCTCGCACCTACACATATATATATATATATATATATTTATTTATTTATTTATTTATATATATATTTATTTATTTATTTATTTATTTATTTATGCGTTTCGTCTACGCGTATATATTGTATATATATATTGCGTATTTTTCACTATAGTTGCTCCCGTGGCAGCAGCATGGGTGCGTCAGTGTGTGACAGTGTGCGCGTCTTCTCCTGCTTTCTCTCTACCGAGTCTGCGGCTCATCCCGCGGCAGCACAACGCAAATCTCTCTCTGTTACGAGAGAGAGAGAAAGAGAATCCAGTTTGCTCTTATCAGCAGCCCGGCATCAGCGTATACGGTCCGCAGTATACTGCCGAAAACAAACCCCACCGCTTTAACAGACGAACGAACTCCGATCACCTTATCTCACCTTTGCCGAGCCTCGCCGACAAAGTCCCGACGTCGGCTCGCATGAGCGTCACCGTCGTCGGCGCCGACAACCCACCCTCGGTGCCTTCTCCGCAGCCGACAACGCTGCAAATACCTACACGTATGACTGCGTCCTGCAATGTAGTTTGTTTACCCCCGAGAGTTGTTGTTGCCTATCTTTCTATCTCTGTCTTGGAGATGGTTGCGGAGATGGGGAGGGGGTGGGGTGTGGGGTCGGAACGCGCGCGGTCAAACATACATGTAAAATCAACATGTAAAACTGCGGCGTGTAAAATGGAAATGAAGTGACGTTGTCATCAGTACAGGTTTCGCTGTATGTGTATATAGGAGACTATGCTGTAACATGCTGTAACTGGTATACGCGCACACACACACATACACACACACACACACACACACACACACACACACACACACAAACACACACACACACACACACACACACGACATAGCTAAAACCTGGGCGACACACAACACGGGGGTCACGTGTTATTGACGTGACGGTTCGCTGCTAAATCTTGTGCGTAAACATTGCGGATCTCTCGTGAAGCACACACACATACTGCACAGAGCTGTTGCCGGTGCATTTAACAACATAATCTCGCATCTTTAGGAAAACAAGTTGGCATTTGCGAGCGAACGACAAAAAGCACGAGGAATTTCGAGGCCGAGTGTAAGTCGCTGCGTTACTGAGCATTCGACCACCGCAGTGGTTTTGACTGACTTCATTGCGGGTGAAGTGTTAAGTTTTTTTGGTATTATTGCAAAGATTTTGTCGTAATTATTTGGACATGATAGTTTGTTACCTATAACTAAACACATCTTTAAACGCTTAGCCGAAAAGATTGCTTTTAAACTAACTAAATATGCAAAAACTTATGAGCAATTTTACATATTGTACACTCCAAAATCGTCTGCCATGTAAGCAAGTCTAGCGGTTTGCTTTACAAGAAATCGACCGCAAAAATCAGAAACGTAATGCATCAATTTAACGAAAATCGAACACAAAACAAACCGTATCTGCGTTCGTTTTTCGCCATTAATTGTCGAGATTTTCGTAGTTGAGACTCACCGATGAGTGCAGATTCCAGAGCGAGGGTGAGATACGACTCGTTGCGGTCCTTGCTTCCCGGCACGCACACGTGCTGGTACTTCTGACTCACACTCAAACTACTCGTGCTGCCAAAGTTGGCATGCACACTAGTCGACGAATCTGCAAGACACATACAGCCCGTGATGAGAACAGAATCGAATGCTTGTCAGGTGGGGAAAACATCACGGTTTGAACATAACACACGAAACATACGATCCGTGCTCGCGCGTGAATACTGCGTGTCATTACCCGCATGAGTATTGAATAATAGATGCATAATTTCAGCTATAAACTCTCAAACCGCAAAGCTGCGAGAGCCACGTGCACATTATAGATAACACGTGTTGGAGTAATCCACGCTAACACAACTAGCATCGTCATAAAGCAACGATCATCGCCCGCCTATAGAACCACAGAGAGCATGTGATTGCTCGTATTTTTCGACGAATCATCCCATTACTCCAGAGGAAGAAGAAATAGAACAGGCAGCTGTGATTTCATGTAGAAAAGGGGTGCGCGGGGTGGGATGAGGGGGGCATGACAACGACGAAGTCAGCGCTCGCCTACCTGTCGTCACGGAGACGGTGTCCTCTGGAATTATGCAGACTTCGCTGAGGGTGTCAAAGAGGCTGCCGATTGGATCGAGGGCGTGGCCGATGTATCCATCCGTGTTGCAGTGCATGGGCGTGTGGCTCACTCCCGTCCTGCCCAGAACTGTCTTACCTGTGGAGAAACACAGCATCATGGATCAGCGCCCCCTTCTGCCACGTGCACGTGCGCGAAAACCTCACAGCATCACGCGTCAGCGCCCCCTGCTGCCACGCGCGCGAGCGAAGACCTCACAGCATCACGCGTCAGCGCCCCCTGCTGCCACGCGCG